ATCTGGCACCTTAATCATCTTTACTGGGTGGACAGTTCTACGAAATTCTCTTGGGAGGACTTGGATGGCATTTTGGTGGGTTTTTTTGTCAGCAAAGAAGCTTAGTTTTAAAATGTACTGCTGTTATTTTTGCTATTGGTTTAGTCAAAGTAACTTAATTTGTCATTTCTGCACTTTTATTTAGAAACTGCATCATTACTGGGGGACAACACTATCAATCATAAAGCCAAGAGGTGAAACAAGTCTGACAGATTTGATGCTTTTTCCAATAACGTTTGATTATGTAGAAAGATGTCTAGCAGCACCTTGAGTCAGTCATATTATTCAATAACATACATTACATTGTTTACTATCTAAACTGATTATGATATTAGCTCTGATGTGTGTTGAAAATATCTTCTGTCTGGTCCAACATTTGAAAGTTTCGCAACAAAGTCTGTAATAACAAATGGCCCCTCAGCATTTTTGTATGGACACCTTTGATGCCACTGTCAAACATGTTATCAGTTGAGTTTTCTAGAGCGCCTCAAGTTTAAAGCACAACCAAAATACTTTAGATTTTCTGTTAAGTTAAAATAAAGTACCACAACTTGCTTATGCAGACAAGTGTTCAAATGTTTCAGTATCAGGCTTACAACTGGGCAATAATGTATTATATATCTTCAAAAAGATTTCTTGTATATATTTTTCAGTTTTTATCCCAATATAGGCTAGACCTACTGTATATCCATTTATTTTATATGTATAATAATGTACACTTGCACTTGTGTGGAGTATTAAAAACAGGCATTACCATGTGATTATTGCATATAGAGCTTTCTTTTTTGTATTAATTGAATCATAATTAAACATGCTTTATTATGATAAATGAAGGTATTGAAATATTTAAATTTTGGCCATATCGCCCAGTCCCATAACCAGACTTATCCTTCAGTGTTTCTCTCCCCTTGTTATTGCTGTTGCATCCATTATGTTTTGTTTAAAGAATGTTTTCTCCCCGAACATCCCAGTAGTCCTTCGGGGCTTGTACGCTGTGCACAGATGCTGTCTCCTCTCGTTGACACCATCACTTTGTATTTTGCGATGTTAGAAAACCTGAATTGCTCTTCCTGCTACAGCCTGGTTGAATGCAGATGATCACTGGGGCTCTTTGATAACCTTGGCCTTTAAATGACTTTCATTCATGAGGGGGAGAATAGGGTGCAGCACGCTGGGTAATGAGTGTTCTTTTTAAAGAAATAAGACGTGATGTTGGACTTCACCAACTTTTGGCTGGTGACAAGTGGGAACTTTAGTGACAAGTTTAAACTACTATATTTAAATTAGTACTGCTGTTGCTTTAAATTCAGCTCACTGGTGTTGAACATTGACAGCTTAAATGAGATGGTGCACAACAAAAACCACCATGTCATTCTGGCTTTAAAACTCTAAAACCACACCAATGCAGGTTGAACATTCCTGGTAATCTTTTTGAAAATGTTCTAATAGTCATAATGATTATAGTGGATTTCTTATTTTTTTATTTGATCACTCTGACGCAGGGAACTGCGTCTCTTCGGAATGATGGTTTTGGGCCGGGTGATTGTGCGCACCTGGGGCCCTGGGTTGTCCCTCCCCCCTCACCTGTGTCTAATTGTTTTCCCTCACCTGTGTTTGATTCTTCTGTGTATTTAAGTGCTGTCTATTGTTGTGCTGGAGTCAGTGTGTGTGAGCTGCTGGTGGCCGCAGGCTGGGCACGTGAGCAGTTTATTGTGGCTGTGTCATTGTGTGTGATCTAACATTGGGTTGATCATTTAATAAATGGCCCGTCGGGTTATATTTTTGGATTCTCTGCCTCTGCTTGCTTGGTCGGGCCGCTCAACGGTCAGTCTCACAATCACATATTCGTTTTTTGGATTGGAATTGTTTAGAACAAAGTACCTGGTGTAATGATTGAGTCCCTCCATCTGTTATTATCCTCCATTTGGGAAGGACATTTTTTTTTACAATGAGGAAAAACATCCAGTAATGCAGTAGATAGGATTAATAAAAAGGCATAATATAGCTGACTCTCATGATCCTTAAACTATGTAAACCTTCTGCAAGATACATTAAAAAAGACTCTCTGCAGAACGATTATACTTTTTTTGTGTCTCCTGTAGCCACGAGAATAAGAATTTCAAACACCAACTGCGTGTCTTTCAGGTTACACATTGTTCTTTCTTACTACGTCAAATGTTGTCGTGTAGACTTCTTTGCTTTCCTTCATGTTAACCCTTTATATGAAACTGTGGGGACAATCTAGACACAGCTCCATAAATAGACTATTCCTTGTAGCATTCCTTATTTACCAAGATATACCATTAGAAATTAGTGTTCATGCACATTTAATCAAACTGTATGGTGTTATAGTTACTGTTAAATCAGTTGTTGTATCATCCTAGGCTCTAATGTGCATTTGAAACAAATCACACTAGATTTTAATGAGATGCAAAGTGATTGAGGCATTTCTAATAACACATTCACAGAGGTTTCCTTAACCCCCACGTCACACAATAGTTTTACTGTTTGCAGCTGATGTGTTTGCAGGGAAATGCAATTAGCTGAGCAGTCAACGGGGATCTAAATGAAAAGTCACATTTATGAAGAGTTCATTAGATTTCAGTGGAGGAACACTTTGGCAAACAACTGGTGTACACGCAGCTCAAAACAAAAGTGGCACCGAATGATTACATTATATTTGAATAGGGATTAGAGAAGTTAACAGAGTCTCTGCTGGGCTTTACTGGATCAGCTAAACACTCATTTTGCGTTAGAGACTCACGTGTGTGCAAGAAAAATGTTCTCCACCTGCAGCTTTTAATTGTCTTTCATTCCTTTAAATCTTAGAAGACACAACACCTGCTGCTATAATGTCTAGATTCATTCATATTTAATGTAAAGATGACTTTGATGTACTTGCGTTCATGATTAAAATGAGTTGTGACATGTGCTAACTGATTTTGCACTGGCAATATTTGTCCTCTGCAATTAAAATGTCACAAGAAGGGAAAAAAAGGCTTAATAACACAGACAGGCAGAGCGATGCTGAGTAGATCAGAGAGAGGAGAAGACAGGGAAAATGAAATTAACTCAGAGAGGCAGCATATTTAACACTTGACCTCCTTGACATTATGCAGAGTGAGCACAGAGGTGTGTCCCTGCTTTGCTGGCCTTTGCACTGACGATGTTAATTTCAGAAAATGACATGCTCTTTAGTTGGGATTCATGGCCTACTTTTAGCTTGGATAACCACACTGAATGTATAACTCAGATCCTTATTGTACGTGTACTCTGCTGTCTCCTGTATTAAATGTTTAATTTCCCAATATCGAATTCTTCTTCATCATTATTTCTAAATGTAGCCTCAACTTTCTGGTCTTGTTCAAAACTATTTCTAACTATTTCTAGCTTATACCTGCCTCTTATTATATTCTTTAAAATAATAACATGGAAATCAATCAACATTTATTTATTTAGCACCTTTCTAGGAAACCAAATTCACTTCAAAGTGCTTTACAGACAAAGATTTGGATGTTAAAATGTTCTGAAATGTGGAAAATAAAATGGAATGAAACATTATGCTCATTTTCAAGTTTCATATTTGTATTTTGTGCCCCTACTGTGACTTTAATGTTCAAAAAGTGCTTTAACAGAGCCCGACTCTGTTGTGATGGGTTGATCGCGTAGAGCACTGAGACTGCTCTTGTAAAGGTCTTCAATGACATCCACTTAAACAAAGACAGTGGCAGAACTTCAGTGTTATTATTATTAGATCTCAGTCCTGCGTTTGACACTATTGACCACAACATATTACTAGACCGACTAGAAAACTGGATGGGACTTTCGGCAACAGTTCTAAATTGGTTTGAATCCTACTTAAAGGACAGGGAAAACGTTGTTTATATAGGTAAATAAACATCTGAGTTGACAAATATGACATGTGGGGTACCTCAAGGCTCCATCTTGGGGCCTCTTCTCTTTAACGTCTACATACTAACACTGGCTCAGATAATGAAAAACAACAAAATAAGTTACCATAGCTATGCGGATGACACACACATTTACGTAACAATTTCACCAGGACACTATTCTCCAATTCAAACACTGAGTAAGTGCATTGAACAAATCAATGACTGGATGTGTCAGAACTTTCTCCAATTAAACAAAGATAAAACTGAGGTAATGGTTTTTGGAGCAAAGGCAGAACGTATAAAAGTTAGCGCTGAGCTTCAGTCGGCAATGTTAAGAACAACAGAGCCAGAAATCTAGGTGTAGTCATGGACTCTGACCTGAGGTTCACATTAAAACAATTACTAAATCAGCCTACTATCACCTAAAGAATATATCGAGGATTAAAAGAATAATGTCACAGCAGGATTCGGAAAAACTTATCCATGCTTTTATCTTCAGAAGACTGGACTACTGTAATGGTGTCTTTACATGTCTCACTAAAAAATTGATTCAGAACGCCGCTGCTCGAGTCCTCACTGACACTAAGAAAGTGGATCACATCACAAAACGCAGTTCTGGAGTCTTTAAACTGGCTTCCTGTCTGTCAAATAATTGATTTCAAAATACTGCTGCTGGTTTATAAAGCATTGAATGGTTTAGGCCCAAAATACATTTCTGATCTATTGCTAAATTATGAACCATCCAGAACTCTCAGGTCTTCTGGTCTGCTTTCTGTCCCCAGAGTCAGAACTAAACATAGAGAAGCAGATTTGAGTTATTATGCTCCAAATATCTGGAACAAAAATGCTTGCACAACATGATATGCATCAGTATGGGTAAACCCAAGGATTGAAGACCACATACAGTAATAATCAAACACAGCTTTACACTTCATGAGAAGAGTTGCCATGCTGGTCTGTATGTGGTAGCCATGGCAACATAGCTCTTGTACATCTTGTAGCCTGTGGTGCTAGGAGCTGGAGGGAGGTTAGATATGATGCTCGTACACAGTGTGAGTGTGGACATAGGCCTCGTTCATCCTTCGCATGCTAATGCTCCGGACCCCGCTGCAGACGCTGAGCGCCCCCCAGGCGTTCGCCCTCAGTCTGTTGACAAGCTTCCTGTCAGGAGTGGCTGTCACATTCTTATGAAGCCGAAGCATACAAGAGTGGGGATATAAAAATAAAAAAAAACAGGTTGGGAGGTTAGGACAGTTCCCTGAACACTGCAGGAGAAAATAAATGCTTCACGCTCAGATAGTTTAAGGTTGTTTGTGACTGGATTTACCCGGTCAGGGGGAAATAAATCAAAAGTTACAGTGTGAATCACTGAGCAAGCTGTTGTCCTCTGAGTCTCAGAGTCCTGCTGGCTGAAAAGGTTTAGTATGTGAAAACATTCCCCTTACCTCTGGGTTAAGGGGCATTACATGTTCTTGACTTCTTGAAACCCAAGTAAAGTACACTCATAATGAATAAAAGCTGAGCTGATCCTAATCTGGGGGTTGAAGCTGGACCAAACTCTATCTGGAAATAAGGAGCCTAATTGTATAGAAGTCTATGAAAAAACGACACCACTTCTTATTTTTATATTATTATCTCTAGTAAAGATTTTCCTGATGACTTTTTGTCTCAATAGACAATAGAGCAGTGTTGGATTTAGGGCGTGGCTACCTTGTGATTGACAGGTTACTACCAGTATATTGTCCTGTCTGTTGTTCGTGTTTTCGTCTTAGAGCTATAAATGTATTCACAATTTGTTTTAGTTCCTGAAAAATATTTGTAACATTTCCGACTTGTTTACTTGTTTGGTTGTACATAGCTCCACCGTCTTTTATTTCTGGTACCAAAAAACAAAGATAGATGCAGCCAAAAACAGCTAAATCAAGACTCCATCAACAATTCAATGGATGAGACAATAGCCATTTCTCTTACACAGTCTATTCACAAAGCCAACTTGGCTAGTCAACACCAAAGTGGAGCAATGTCAATAATTAAATTGCACGTTTGACTTCTGTGTTTCCAAAGAAATTGAAATTGAATTTGTTTTAAAGAGTGCTGCATGAGTTCATACTTCTATCTGATTCAAACAGTGTTGGGTTTAAATACATATTTCAGTCTTAATATAATCATACAGCATTCAGAGAAAAAGCAGGCTGATACTCAGTGAGTTAAGCCTTCATATAATTTGTATAGCAATCTCTTATTGGGAGATTAAATAAACACAAAAATGCTTTATTACACCAGCCTGTAAAACATGTTCTGCTGTATAGTTGGGCATTTTAACATGCTGGTCTATGGTGAAGGCTCCGTCTGAGGGGCCATTTGATGCATTTCAGTTTTCAAGACTAATAGGTGCCCTTCCTTTCCCTTAGAGAACCGTCTTTGCAATGTAACCACATTTAGGGTAATATTAAGTTAATGGAAGACATAATTCTATCATTTGTTTTTAGTTGGCTGAACACCTTTGGAAATGATTCGGTTACTGAATAAAAACAATTGCATTACTGATTAAGAATAATCACATTTAAAGTCGCAATTATTTGAATTGATTCCATATTAAGCCCATTCACCAGAGTTATCCAGGACAAATAAAAGGAGCTTATATTTTCGTTAATATTTGGGTGAGTCATGCCTTTGAAATATTAAACTAAACTCAAAAGTAAGAACTCAATTGGAGCACAATCATCTTTTTGCTGTGTTATTGCCTTAGTTGTTTGATTGTTGTTCTTCTTAAAGTATATTATTGCTTTAACAGCGGTCCAGCAATGGTGTTTCAGTGTTTAGTGCAGACCATTACCGGGGCATATTAAAGCCACAGAGACCATCATGACTCACGTTAGATTACACCAGGCTTCTTTCATGTTCCCCAGAGCCACATTCATCTTGTGGCACCAAATATTGACTGTAATGGTGACAAATGTGGTCTGCATTGTACAACACGTTTGTATTGTGCTCTCTTTTATAAAGCCAGTTCATTACTGGAATTCATTATAAGGTGCAGGAAAGACTGGTAATGCTGCGAGAATTGAAAGGCACCAATTTACTTTTAACAATATGCAGACTCCCCTAATCCCTCACTATAGACCTCATCAGTGAAGCGGATGGCTGTGAATATGCAGCCCATGAATCTTTAACCAATGTCGCTCCATTGGGTTGTTTTAAAGCACCCCGATTGAAGAAGTTTCTTCGCTGGCAGTGCTAAAATTTAAAGTAGAAGCTCCGCAGTTAATCCCCATGCAGTTATTGCAGTCGCCACGCAGCAGGTGAGATGATGACATTTCAATCCTAATCACTTGCAGGCCCTCACTTTGCCTTTTCAGTATCAGAGCCTCCAGTTAGTGTATCCTGCAGTGTGTCGCATGTTGCTTTATGTAACTTGTGTTCCGTCTGCATGAACAGGTTTGCCGTGCAGCGTGCGGCACCCCCGAGCCTCGTGTGCTGCCCTAGTTAAAGGCATATTTTAAGAGTTCCCAAACGGGTCCATTTGCCCTCTTCTCTTTCTCAAGTTCAGGCTTTTTTCCTTTCTGAAGCATCTTTTAGTGTCAAATGGAGCCAGATGAAAAATATTTTGAGACAATTGGTACACTTTATCCTTGTTCTAGTGAATACATGACACAAATGTATTGGTATATTGTGATAACAACAAAGGCCTTTAAGCTCTAATGAGTTGTTTAATACCAGTTTTCTGCTGAAAAGAGCAACAAGATGTGCAATTTGAGCAGATTGTATGGCAAGTCCTCCAACAGCGCCACCAGTGGCCAATTGTATATACTGCCATTACGTAGGGCTATTTTCATTGACATTTACATGAGTCATCAGAGGATAAGAGGACCTTAGTTCATTGAATTCACATTAAAACAGACTTCTAAAACCGCTCCAGAATAAATTATGAAATTAAAAGAACATTACATTAAAAATAGACTTCTGTCCACTTTTGACAGCCATTATCTTCAAAGCCCATCTGGTCTCTGTGTCACGCTCACAGGTACAGATCAGAACCCAATAACATGACACAGATACAACCAGTGTTCAGAATGTTCAGTTTAATCAGGTCAGGGACAGGCAGGGTCAAAACCAGGAAATCCAGCAGTCAGGCAAACAAATCCAAGAAGGGGCAGGCAGAACAGGGCTCAGAACCAGGCGATCCGTCAGAGAGGCAAACAAATCCAAACAGGGGGCAAGCAGGAAACTCGAGGTCCGGTAACAGGCAGGCAGGGGTCAAAACCAGGCAGGACAGGTAACTAGGCTAGAGATAATCAAACGCTGGAGAGCTTGGCAGAATAGACAAGACAATCTGGCAGAGGACAAGTGAGAGTGAGGTGGTATAAATACTGTGGAGTAATGAGGGAATGAGTAGTAGGTAAGGGGGAGGGCTGGGGAGACCAGGATTGCAAGAGCCTGGAGGAAGGCGGGATCTTTAATGAAAGGTGAGATAAGATGTGCCAAACCAAAAAACAACAATAATATGGGTCTAACTTGTGACAGTTTTAACCTGTTTTTATATTACAATATTCAGTTAAACCTTTTGTGAGATCAATTTAAAGATCAGATCATTTTATAGTTACAAAAGGCATACATTTAAACTCAAAAGGTTAAGCTCGTTCTTATTTTAACCATGCTTGCCACTGTTCTTTTCTCACGTCATTATAAAATTAGTGATTAAGCAACATTTTAATTTGAACGAATGGCCTTTGTGGGTATTTGGAAGCTGCATATTCCTTAAAGAGGGAGAGAGCTACATTTTCTCCATGTATTGTATGCTTGCAACTCTGACCTTTTCTAGTAATACTGATATTTGTGTATTGATGCTTCAGTCAATACATGCTCTGATCTGAAGGTCCAACAAAGAATATATTCATGTTAGCATACTAATTGGCATTATAGAACTAGCAGTACTCAGACTTTGACGTCAGGCTATTGTTCTACATAAATACAGCTGAAAGATAGATTAGTTACACTCGCTGATCTGTTAGAATAATGTACTATTGATGTTCCTGTGTTCACTGTCTTGATAGTAATCCTTGAAGCAGTCATGTGTTCAATGCTTCTTGTAGGACACATTCATTCTCATATAGGCACTGTGTTCATCATAGAGGCCTTTGTACTGTATATGTTGGCACTGAATGTTATTACTGTATTCCCTCCTTAGAATAGCAATAAGAACATCAAGACTGTCATGGTCATGCCATAGTCAAACAAAGAGCTTGATGATGGCAGTTAAACAAATAAGAATACAGTAACCATGCTGTAATCATGTTAGGCACAAAAGAAAAGTAACATATATCTAAAGCCCTCTAACTGATGTTATTGCATTGACATGCTTCAGTGGTAATGGTGTGAGTTGTGTACACCTGTGTGTGTGTGTGTGTGTGTATGTGTGTGTGTGGGTGTGTGTGTGTTCACGTGTGCTTGCATGCTGGAGTGTGAGCCGTGTGCTAATATGCTGATACAGGCGGTTCCTGTGACAAATTCCTGCCCAGCTTTGCTCAGATTAGGCAAGCTGATAATTTTAGCAATGCTTAAATCAGTCAGTCCTGCAGTGTGTGGACAGCGCAGAGTGGGTATCACTCCTCGACATTTGTCATCCACTAAATCATCTTGCCAGAGGACTATTAAGATAAATGTGTGTGTTGTAACGTGTTAGTCAGCTGACAGGCTTTTTTCTGCTCTGCCATCATAGCAGAAATCTGGTGTTTAAAGCGGACTACAAGACAAGCAGTGTGGAGTCACAATGTGTGGTCAGTACATGTTTGTTTTTTTAGACAGAAGCAGCACAATTCAATCCTTCATTTGAGGTCTAGTTTGTGTCAAGATGGCATCAAAGTGATTAAACTCAATGGTCATTTTTAATGCTTTTGTCTGAGTGGATTGCATTTCATTGGGAAGAATTGATGTTATTTGAGGGAATTTGGTTTTTAAGGCCACACCCCTTCGTCTTGTTGATTTGCAGAAATTAGCAAACGGTCGAATCATAAATCTGCTGACCTATCAGCATGACGAACAAATGATGGAATTTCTTATCCCCTTTAGTAGATGAATTTCCTCCCTGTTAGGAATCAAAGCCCTAATGCACATGCATGGTTCAAGGACAGGGTTTTCTATGATGAGCAGCATGAAAAAAAGACCTCCACACCATGGCGTGAAGTTGGAAC